CTCACACCTGTACCAGGTGCCTGTGCCACCTGTGCCAGGCCCCTGGCTCCCACCTGTGCCGCTGCCATGGCTTTGGGAAGGGATTTATTGACCCAAGCCCCCCCCCTGGGTCCCACCTGTGCCGCTGCCATGGCTTTGGGAAAGGATTTCTTGCCCCAACCCCCCACAAACGAGGCCACACAGACTTTGTTTCCACTACTGTCTCAGTGTACTTTATTCTCCTGCCATCTCCAGCCTTACAGCCGCAGGGGCCAGCCCGGGGAGCACTGAGGAATGCTCAGCTTCCCTCTCTTCCCTCCACACCTCAGGAATGGCTTTTTGCTTTTTTTTTTTTTTTTAAAGGTTTTTATTTTTTTTTTCTTTTTCTTTCTTTATTTACTTCATATTTAGGAAATCCCAACCCTCCCCTCAAAAGCAAACTAAAAAGCAAAGGCATTAAGTGGCCAGGTGAGCCAAGCCTGGGGGCTGTTCCCAGGGCTCCTCCTCGGCCCCAGCGCCTTGGGAAGCGCCTGGGAAGTGCCTGGTTTGCTTGGATCGATTGGATTGGGATGTGGTTGGACACTGGGCAGAGCCCAGCACTGAAGGCACATTCATGTCTGATACCCTGTACGAGCTGGGGGTGCTGCACTGCCGGACACGGCGCCGGGAGCAGGGATGGGAATGGGGGAATGGGAGCAGAGGGAATGGGAGCAAGGGGGGAATGGGAGTGGGAGGGAACTGGGATAGGAGCAGGGGGAATGGGGATAGGACCAGCAGGGAAGTGATGGGAGCAAGAGGGAATGGGGATGAGATCGAGAATGGGGAGCAGAAGGGAATGGAAGTGGGAGGGGATGGGAATGGGAGGAAAGGGATGGGAGCAGGAGGAAAGGGATGGGAGGAAGAGGGAATGGGGAATGGGGAGCAGAAGGGAATGGAAGTGGGAGGGGATGGGAATGGGAGGAAAGGGATGGGAGCAGGAGGAAAGGGATGGGAGGAAGAGGGAATGGGGATGGGATGGGAAGGGCATGGGGATGGGAGCAGGAGGGAAGTGATGGGAGCAAGAGGGAATGGGGATGAGATCGAGAATGGGGAGCAGAAGGGAATGGAAGTGGGAGGGGATGGGAATGGGAGGAAAGGGATGGGAGCAGGAGGAAAGGGATGGGAGGAAGAGGGAATGGGGATGGGAAGAAGAGAATGGGGATGGGAGGAAGAGAAAATGAGGATGGGAGCAAGTGGGAATGGGGTGGGGAGCAGGAGCGAAGGGATGGGAGGAAGAGGGAATGGGGATGGGAAGAAGAGAGAATGAGGATGGGAGGAAGAGAGAATGAGGATGGGAGCAAGAGGGAATGGGGTGGGAACAGGAAGGAATGGGGTGAAAGCAGGAGGGAAGGAATGGGAATAGGAGGGAAAGGATGGGAGCTGCAGGGAAGGGATGGGAGCAAGAGGGAATGGGGATGGGAGCAGGAGGGAATAAGGTGGGAGCAGAGGGGAATGGGGAGCAGGAGGGAAGTGATGGGTGCAGGAGGGAATGGGGATGGGAGCAGGGGGAATGGGAGCAGGAGGGAATGGGGATGGGAGGAAGAGGGATGGAAGTAAGAGGGAATAGGGTAGGACCAGGAGAGAATGGAGTGGGAGAAAGAGGGAAGGGAGCAGGAGGGAAGGAATGGGAGCAGGACGGAATAAAGTGAGAGCAGAGGGGAATGGGGAGCAGGAGGGAATGGGGTGGGGAGCAGGGAATGGAGAAAGAAGGGAAAGGGGAAAAGAAATGAAAAAGAAAAATGAAAGATGGAAAGAATAAAGGGGAAAAAAACCAGAAAAAATAAATAGGGAGAAAGGAAATAAAAAGCAAAACAAAACTAAAATGGGAAACGAAAAGGAGATAAAAAGGAAAGGATAAAAAAGGAAAGATGAAAAAGGGGAAAGGAAATAAAAGGAAACCAAAATTGGGGCAAAAGGGGGAGGGAGGAAAGGGGGAGAGGG